CAGTGGCTCTTGGAATAGTTGACCCAAAAGTGATTCTGTCATCGTTTACTCACCCTCATGTCATTCCGAAGATGTATAACCTTTGTTCTTGTTTTCTGGAACACAAAGGAGAATGTTACTGTTCCTTTCCATAAAATGAAAGCATGTTATGTTCCATGGAAGAATGAAAGCCCTTCAGATTCAGGGGGATAAGAAAGTGCCCATAGTTGAAGATGCACTGTAATGTTGCGTAAAATACTGTAACTTAGTTCAACTTTAGTTATAGTTAATTGAATTGGGAGTTGCAGCTTGGTCGTGATTTTGTCTTTTTATGAACTCTTGAAATCTTTGTAAGCTCACTCACTCAAGAATATGAGTGGCCCTTGGTCATGTTAAATGGATAGTTGATCCAAAAAATGAAAATTATGTCATTGTTTCCTCTCCAAACCTGGTCTTTCCAAACCTGTATGACCTTTTTTTTCTCACAAATGTCCTACCAGTTTGGAATGACATGAGGGTGAGTAAACAATAACAATGTTTTATTTCTGGCTGAACTATCCCTTGAACCTGAGTGAAAAATTAATACAATGTAAATGGTCTTGTGACTGTGATAAGAATCAATTGATTGAAGATCCCAATGAGTGATTTGTTAGTTTCACAGTTTAATATCCCAATAAACTGAACTCCAATCCGAACAACTTCCTGGGTGCTGGAGTATGTGATCTGGCTGACCACAATTTCCTGTTGTGATGTCTAGTGTATGTAATGACGGGAGAGAAAGTGTTAGGACATGGCATGCGGGAAGAATTCAAATGAAATTTTGGAGGAGTTTTGAAGGTTGTGGGGCCTATTTGCGATGAGAGTTTAAATGAAAATGACCTGAGGAGCTTCAGTAAACAACAGACTTTGTATTATAAAAATATGAACCAATATAAAAACTTAAATACAGTCAAAATATAATCTGAAAGATACAAGCATAAAAGCTTTTCAGTATGGCCAATAAACTATCAATGATGTATTTTATCAGGTGCATAATCTTGCGCTTCTATATATAGAGATGCATGGAGACAGTGCTTAATGTATGTGTGTTCAGAATTAATGGGTGTTTCTTCATCTATAGGCACTCTTGCCCCTGTGGAGTAGTTTAACTAGTTTAATTTGACAGTATGCATCTCATATGCTGGTAAAACTGTTGGTTGTGATGAAAATTAGGCGACTGCTGAGGGATGGATGTAATTTGTGTAAAAAGAAATGTAAATGCATAATTTTCAAGCAATGAATCTGTTGAAATGGTCTCTGGTATTTGATTATAGTGAAAGAGTGAAATAATCATAGGTCAATATTTAATAAATATGTAATAAATATTTTTATGGATTTAATTAAATGTTATATTATAATATTTTTTATATAAAAAATATATTGCATTTTATTATATCTTAAGTTGAACATAAAATTAAATATTTTTATTGATTTAGTTACATTTTCTATTTTTTCTTATTTTATATTAAATGTATTGTATATTTTTATATCTTAAACTATTAAAGTATTTTATATTAAATATTTAATAGCTTAATATGCTTCGGACAAGAGTAAAATAATAAACTAAAAATCTTTTAGAAAAGTTTGAAAGAGTCCTTTAACAAAAAGTAAAAGATGAAAACTGTTTTTTTTAATCATATTAAGTGCCCATACCTGAAGAAACTCTCTAATGGTGTGTAAAATATTGTAACTTGGTTATAAAAACCACATTAATCACTTGAAGAAACATTGTATGGTATTATCTATAACTTTATGATTTGCATTTGGAGGTTGTTAAGATTCCAGACATGCAGTTTAATCAATAAGTTGAGAACTAATATTTATACATAATGCATGAATTTAGCACCACACAAAAATCTTTCTTGCCCTCTAGTTTGCCAGAGACATTGAATCCTTTATATCCAGTCCATCTCTCCGGTGATCATAGAAAGCTCTTTTTTTGAACTCATAAAAATACAGTAGCTAGTTCCCTGCCTTACCATTTTTACTGCTTCCCAATACCGCCCAAAGAAATATCATTAGCTCACACTTTCTTTTTCTTTTCTTTTTTTCTTTTTTAAGAAATGCCTCATAAATTGTCCAACTCGACCCAGCAGGCTTTGAGCCGGCCAATTAAATCTATTGACTAACCGAGAGATGTTCCCTGCATGTAGGAGAAAAGAAGAGTGGATGGCACATTACATGCATTTGATGGTGGACAATCAAGCTTATAAAAGTTCTTTATGACCTTTCCGATGACTGGGATGAGCGTGGTAAATGGTTGAAACCTTCAGGCACAGAGTACATATTACACACACATTCAAGCTGTAGAAAGGCCTCCTGGTGGCTGTAACTATTGGCAGTATCAGCATAACAAATTGTGTAAGGTTGAACTGGAAAATGAATGTGAATTTCTCTATTTCTTGGTATTTAGTTTGTTACCTTTTTGGTTTTATAACAGCAACGCTTGAGCTGACATGAACTCCACAAGTTTGTGGAAAATCTGATGATTATGTTCTCCAACATGATTGGAAAAAGATACAAAGAACATCTTGTGCTGGTGTTACAGAGAATTAGAAAATATTATTAAATATTTATACACACACACCACACACACACACACGTATACTGTATATATATGTGTGTGTACGTATGTATGTATGTATGTGTGTCAAGCACAAGCATTAAAGTAAATGGTACTTATATTTTATATGAAGCATTATTGCAGTAACATGTATGCAATATTAGAGTTTCACACAGTTCTTTATCATTGTATGTCCTGAGTTTGAAACAGCTCCGTTTTATTTTACCCTGCTAAGCTGTTTTAAGAGCTGAGAAGAACAGATGAAACGGCATATCACGCTGTGTCTGTGTGCATTCTGAGGAAGGGGAAAACTACACACGGTTGACTCTTGTCCTCTCATTGTAATTCTGATCTGAAGGCATTCTAGTTAGCATGGAAATAAGTTGAGGCTGTCTTGCAGAGTTATGAGATAGGGAGTGACTGACTGGGGGCCGTGGGGGGTGCACATTGATCTGAAGTTATGAGGACGTACATTTGAGATGTGCTCTCTCTTACTACTCACACAGCAACTCGCACACCCACAGCGTTTGTCATTAGCAGTGATTATATTTCGGCTAGAGTTAGGCTGTTATCTAGGTCTAGCACTCTTCATGTTTTATGAATATTCAAACTACTAAAGTATTTGTATTTATAGTATTTAAAAAAAAATTTTTTTTGAAGGAAATGTCAGTGGTGTTGGCCCATGCAGAACTCACTTAAGTGTTTTCGTGTGGTTGTCAGGGAGTAGTTTTGTGGTTGCTAAGGCATTATGAGTAGTGTTTACTGCAGTGCTAGGTGGTTGCTATACATTTCAAAATATACAGTTGTCCAAAATATTGCTAATATAGATGTTATACATAACTAAAACTTAATCAAAATATTTTTGGCCATTTTTATAATACATTTAATTGAAATATATTGTCCAAAGCAGATCATAAAAAATACATTCTGCATTTACCCAAAATGTTTTTTATTTATTTATTTGTTTTTTTATAAAAAAATTATATTCTTGCCCCTTTATGTACTTTAATATATTTTGGCATCTAAACAAAATCTGTATTTTTAATTTGAAAATATGTTATTTACAACATATATTTAGCATAAATTTGATAGATATATATTTGCCATATATTTTGGCAGGAAATAAAATTTCACCATATATATATATATATATATATGTATATATCCAAATGCATGTTATTGTGAACTATTCATCCATGCATGAGTTTTCATTAAAATTTTTCCAATAACTATATTTCAGTTAAACTGTGGTGATGTCTGCAGTTCTTCTCTATTTAGTCTGCTTAAATACCGCCCCTTTTCACAATAAGCTGCAAGCTCGCATTCAGATCTGCCTCCATCCAATCAACAAACGATTGATTGAACTAAGACACCGCCCTACAATTTATTTTATTTTCGATAATCCGTTTCACTCAGATGTATGCCACATATGCAAGAAAAGATCTGTCACTGCTTCTGTTTTATTGGCACTTTAATAAGCACTATTAATAAGACACCAAATACATAATGTGTCGAATAAACCTGCTTTTTTGATAACTGTTCTGTTAATTAAAAAAATATATATCTTTGCCTTTACACAGCTGAAACCTATAGGATGGGATGAGCCTGAGATTGATAGTGGAGTGAAGGCTCATGGACTAGAGTGGGTTGGTATGAAGGATGAAAGGGCACCTTTCTATGTTAATGAGGCATTGATTTCCACATCACTAAATAATGAATTCATAAATTAGGCCTAACCATAAAACACTGCAACTGAAATCTGCCCACTCAGGGAGTTTCTATCTTATAAATGAACCATGGAGTTGACCATAAGCATTCTTCAACTAGATCTTACGTTCTCTTGCTCACACACACAAATGAAAAAACATAAGCAAGGATCTATCTATCTATCTATCTATCTATCTATCTGTCTGTCTGTCTGAATACAAAATTACTGTAGCATAGTGCTTTGGGTATTTTTGGGCACCTTATTATTGTAGACTTTTGGCCGTCATAGACAGGATCACAACATTTGTGGGCCAATATACTGCCTGATTAAGCATCACACTAAGTTTTGGGACACAGTCTTTTCTAATTTGTTATTACTTTAAACAGCTGTAGTTCATGCCCTTAACTATGGGTATGTTCTACTAAGGTTTGGCAACCAGAAAGTTTCCATATAATTTATGTATTAGTTTTTGCAATCTGTCTTTTGTTTTGACAGTTAAAACTTATGTTTGTGAGATATTTAGCATGATAAGTGTTCTTGTGCTATATTTGAAATACTTGGTTTGATATTTTATGTAATCTCACAGCATTTATACATTTTTAAGTGTCCAAATACAGTTGGGGCCTCTGTACTGCATGTAACACCGTGGAAAACAATGAAACTAGAGTGGTCTGGAACCTGCCTCACTCATTGCTCAGGGGTGTAGAATTACTTTTAGTCACGGCGCAAATGCGCACCGTAGAGAGCGTCTTCAGCGCGCGCTGTCGCACGCAAACCTTCACTTCACTTGTAGTTCGTGTCAGAACGCGCTGGCAGGCAGGTCTAAGGACCCGGGGGATATTGGAACCCTCAGCTCGTTCATTCGCACCCGCTCTCCTCCCCACACACCCTGTCGTAGCAGTACAGAAAGCCAACAATCAAACAGCTGTCGACTGGCGGCTCGAGTCGCGCGCGCTACATCACCAATGCCGGGAAACCGTCAGCTCTCTCGCGCGCGGACGGACAGCGACTATGTGAAGCAGTGACCGCGAGAATGGACCAAAGGAACTACTTCGCCGTTCTGCTGCTCGCTTTTCAGGTTCAACTCACATTTGGAGAGTTCTTTCCAGGCAAGTTTGCATTCTGTTCTGTATCTTTTTAGACACTTTGCGGAGGTTGGCGAGCTTTGAATGCCGTAACCCAAGACGGGATGAAACTTTAATAATTGAAATCTTGTTTATTAATGCCGATGTTCAGACGGGAGATGTAACATTAATGTTAGATGAAAACGAATTCCAGAAGATCTACTGTTGCTTTATTTATCGTTTGTGACTTTTTATAGTCGAATCATACCTTTTAATGACTGATCTGTATCGTTATTTATCTCAGTTTTTTCTTGTGGAGCCAAGCGTATCTCATTTTGAACGGAAAGATGACTGGTTTCTCTTAAAGTATTGTTATTAGGCTAGGCTATATTATATTATTATATATTTAATCTATTTAAAATTACTGTATGTTAAGGCTATTCTAGGCTCAAAGCTGTACATTTATAAATTACACCTCAGACTGGATTAAGAAAAGTTTACTCCGTCAATAATACATAGCCTACTTAGTACGCTCATAATTAAAACAGCTATTAGTACTTTGTGACTGGGATACTTAATTATATATGTTTGCGTTTGAAATGAAAGCAAGGCTATCAACATAAAAAGACACTAACAAAAAAGTACATCTTTTTTTTGGATGTGGTTCTATGGTATTACTGTAGTATTCTTTTTGAAGTAGCATTTATATTTTATGGGATGTGAGTATGGTGGTCATTTAGTACCATGATATATATCAAAGTACTATGGTATTACTGTCTAATTTCATTATTGTTGAGACCCTCAGGGCCAACAGGGCATAAAGCCTCTATCACATTTAATCCACATATTGATGGACATCTCTCATACTTTATTGATGTTTACTTCATTTATAAGCGGTTTTAGTGCACAACTGGTGCAGTAGGTCTACATGGGCGAAGCGGATGAGTGTGCCATAATTGATTTAAAAGAGGCAGTTATTCCACTGAAAGATTTCCATTTGGCATTTAATCAACCAATACAATATTGTAGTGTTATTTATTGTAGTGAAAATGATGTTATTTAAGTTACATTTCATATGTAAACACTAATGAAGAATTCCCATGTGTGTTGGACACTTGCCGACTGCTTTTTCTTCACACATCGCTCCAACATTTCCATAAAAAAGAAATGAATAAAAATAAAATAAAAAATATAAAATTATCTATTTAAAAAAATTTAATAAAAATTAAAAAAATTAAAATGTAATTATATTTTGTCTTGAAAAGTAATTTCAGGCATTTAAGCAGAAACCTTTATACCAAAATGTTTTTAAGATCATGAGAAACAAGAAAAAAGAAAAGCGTGTCCAAACATTTGACTAGTAGTGCATTTTTTGGTTCTATATTCAAGTTCCATGGCATTACCACAGTATTTAAATGTACTTCAAAGAATATCATCATATTACCATTGTGCTTTTTGCCACTCTTTTTGTTAATGATAACATAAGCTTGCTTGAGAATGGTGCTTTCTTTCTATAATCTAGTTTTTAATTATTTTAGGCTGTTTGACTTAACCATTTATACGACAAAAAGGGTTTACTGAACAAAATAAATAATTCAGTTGTATCAAAAAGCATACTTAAAGGTTCCGGGTTCTGTGATGATGAGGGCCCTCTATGTTCCTGTGATATAGCCCAAATTTACTCACTGGAGCCTGGTGGTAGGGCGGCCCACCCATGTAAATTTATCCCCAGGCCCCGTATGTTTTAGCAGCGGCATGATAATTTATTGCGAGGCCAGTTTAGTTTATCTAACTCAGACACATCGTTTTTTTTATTTGCCTGGCAGAAGTTTTAATTTCATTGAGGTTGCGAGGAGATGCCTATTATTAATAAGAATGATTAATTAAAACTAATGAGAGATCATATACCCTGAGGGAGCTGTGGATTTGTCTCCTGCTCTCTGACAGCTACTCATTTGTAGCTCAGTGAAGTCTCTTATCCTCCGCACACTGCCAGTCTAATAGCTAATCCAGAAACTGCCAGGCTTCTGGATAATCCAGTTCACTCAGTGTATGTGTTTCTTTGGGCTTCTAGATTAATTCTAATGTCCTTGAGCATGAGGCATTTAGGAATTCATATATACTGCTTTTTCCCTACTGTTGTTTCTTTTCTAATATTTTCTGTTCATCTTTTCCTTCGCTATGTCTTTCTGAAGGTCAGACTGTGCTTCTATGAGTGTTTACTTCTGTAGTTGAAGGATTCACTTATTGCATTCACTTATTTGTATGCATTTAACCCTTGTAGCTAGGGCTGGGTATCGAGTTCGATACTTTTTAGGCACCGACGTAAAGTTATTTTAGAATGTCACCAATAAGACCAGGAACGTGTATTAAGAAATTTCATGTTGATTGTATTTGCCAAGATTTTTCTTAAAAATGGAATTGATTGAAAATTTTCCTTAATTAAGATGCACTATTATGTCCACACCAACACTGTCTAATTCCTCGATGTGTTATCTTTTTGAATGTTTGCCAACACTCTGATTTACACACATTAGAAATGGCAGAGATGAGCCTTGAACACACGGTCCAGTGGGTAAAAGCTCCTTATAATGAACAGAATGCTCATTCCTTCTCCGACTACTTTGTTTGAGCCCTTGAATAAGACACTTCACCCATGTCTAATGGCCGCCCATGCTATAACTCCATCTCTCTCCTAGTCAAACAAGAGTAAAGAGTTGTAAAAACCCTTGAGTAAAGTGGGAATGAATGGCGAACGAAACTTAAAGGGAAAGAAAAAGACTTTTAAACTTCATTGAGAGTAACCGCCACATGTAGCATGACTGAATTCTTGCTGAGGCTGGCAGGGCTAAATGAGCAGGCGAGTCTGAAAGCCTCACTCCGTCGCAACATGTATGGAAACAAAATGAGTTGCCTTACTGTGACGGTTTCCTCTTTTGTTGTGATTGCCGCTCTAGACCGAGATGGAGAGCCTGTCTGAGGGGGTGGAATAACAATGCGAGAAATCAGGGAGAAATGAAGCGCTGAACCAGGGCCATAATTGTTTTCTTTGACCTGCTTGTTATCGCCCTGCTCTTGGGTTGCCAGGTTTCAGTGCTCCACTCTTGCCCTCTGACAAGCTGTCACTCAGTGGCCTGTTTAGTATTCGAGTGAGAGCGAGAGAGAAAGGAAGACTGTCAGAGGTGTTATCTGCATGACTGTGCTGGTCTAATCCTCCCCACTTATTCTATTTGGCTGACTAAATGACAGCTCAATACTGGAGTGCGGGCCAGGTCCACTATAAATGAGACGTCTCCTCCTCGTACTGTACAGAGAGCGAAAACCTCTGGAGCAGCCATGTTTAATGTCTGAGGAGGCTAGTCAGAGGTGTAAAGAGTACCTAAAAACCATACTTGAGTAAAAGTACAGATACTAGAACAAATAATAAGCCAAAAACCAAAGGGAACAAAGAACAGAATGACTGGCAAGCAGACAACCATTACATTCAACAACTCAAAAGGAACTAAAGAAAAACTAGGGCTATATATACACACAGGGGGCTAACAAGCTTAACAAGATACTCATTCAAAAATGTAGTGAAGTAAAGAGTAAAAGTTGTTCATATCTTTGATACTCAGTACAACTACAAAGTATCCGAAAATATACTCAAGTACAGTAATTACATTTACTCCAATACTTTACACCTCTGAGGCTAGTCAGTGTGTAAAGGGATAGTTCACCTAAAAAAGGGAAAGTTTGCCCTCTTCATCTATTTGATGTTCCTCAAACCACATATTCCCCTGTAAAAGACATGTTTGTCAAAAACAAAGTTGCTTTCTTGTACAGTGAAAGCAGGGCCAAAAACTAACTTTTTGCCAGACCTGCCAATGGCCGGTGACTTAAGGAAATTTACTGGCCAGAAATATTTTTTACCAGCCACGGAAAACAAAAAACAAAAAAAAAAACAGGCAGTTATGACACCAAAATTTTAGATAATAGCAAAAAAAAATCACAGTCCTTGATTCCAGTTTCAATACTAAAACTACTAGCTTAACCAATATAAATTTAATAGTCTACATTTTTAAAGACTAGTAAATAGTCAGTTGTAAAATGAGAGCAAATCAAATTACAAGCTATAGCACAACATAGCCTACTATACAACAAAGATACAAATGGAAATGGTGCATTTCAGGCAGGTAACAGTGATTTTCAGGTAGCCTACAGAAATTTTTATAAATTTTGCTAATCAAATAACACTATAGTCTTTATATAATTTTTTTAATTCAAGAGCAGTGAGTGATTTTTTTTTCTTTCTTTGTCCTATTTTCTTTGATCAGCATTAAAATCGCAGACAACAGTAGGATTATTGGAATTCTGTGTCTATCAATTTAACACCGTGTCAGCACCACAACAGCTGGAAGTTGTCAACACTGGATGCGACAAAACGGCCGTTGCTTGGACTATTTCAGAAATAGAATGGGAATCTGTTTACTTTCTGGGATTTGTCGTGTCGCGCTGCGCCGCATCCAGTGAGACAATATCACTGATTATAATGGGTTCTATTGTCTTTTGACGCATTGCGTCGCGTGCGGTTCGTGTCTGGTTTCTTTCTCAGCTGTTCATGTTCACTTAAGAACTAACTATTTTACTAGGATACTTACCGAGACGGGCATTTTTAAAAATAATTTTGTGTGAATTTGTCTGTTCAAGCGCAGGAAGGAAGCAGAGCTCAAGCCGCGGCTTTCAGGCCGGGGTTTCAGATGTTTAAACTTACCACACAGCGCGAGAGTAACGCGTGTCCTTTCGTGTGTTCTAGCTCTTGCATATTTACATTGTAAAGGCATAAACTTTTGTGATTAAGCAACACTGACCCGTCAACTGTACGGAGCGTCGGTCACATTTGTTCATGTTTATGTTCTCACGACATTGCACTGTTAGAATTTATAAAAATGTTACCGGCCATCTGGCGACTGACACAGTTTCATATACTCGCCAAAGCCGATTTTTACTCTCATTTGGCACTTGGGGAGTATTAATTTTATGCCCTGAGTGAAAGTGAATCATGG